TGTAGGTAAGTATAGTGGTCAGTAGGTTTCCGGTATAGGGTGGTGTTTATGTGACCATCGCTTATTAGCATAGTAGTGTCCAGGAAATGGACCGCTTGTGTGGATTGGTTTAGGCTGAGGTTGATGGTGGGATTGAAATTGTTGAAATCATGGTGGAATTCCTCAAGGGCTTCCTTTCCATGGGTCCAAATGATGAAGAGGGAGGGGATAGCTCAGTGGGATCTGGGGCAAAATCAGTACTTGGTCCTGCTAGTGAAGGCAGGGGGCTGGACTCGATGACCTTTCAAGGTCCTTTCCAGTTCTAGGAGATAGGATATCTCCATTTGAAAAAAAAAAAAGATGTCATCAGTGTAGCACAAGTAAAGTAGGGGCGTTAGGGGACGAGAGCTAAGGAAGCGTTGTTCTAAGTCAGCCATAAAATGTTGGCATACTGAGGGGCCATGCGGGTACCCATAGCAGTGCCACTGACTTAAAGGTATATATTGTCCCCAAATATGAAATAATTGTGGATGAGGACAAAGTCCACATCGCAGGCTTGTTCACCTGCACATCTACCAATGTGATATATGCCAGCAATGCCCCTCTGCCATGTACATTGGCCAAACCAGATAGTCTCTACACAAAAGAATAAATGGACACAAATCTGACATCAGGAATCATAACATTCAAAAACCTGTAGGAGAACACTTCAACCTCTCTGGTCACTCAGTAACAGACTTAAAGGTGACAATTTTGCAACAGAAAAGCTTCAAAAATAGACTCCAACGAGAAACTGCTGAGTTTGAGTTAATATGCAAACTAGATACCATTAACTTGGGTTTGAATAGAGACTGGGAGTGGCTGGGTCATTACACATATTGAATCTATTTCCCCATGTTAAGTATCCTCATACCTTCTTGTCAGCTGTCTAAAATGGGCTATCTTGATTATCACTACAAAATTTTGTTTTCGCCTGCTGATAATACCTCATCTTAATTAATTAGCCTCTTACAATTGGCTAATTACTTCCACCTTTTCATATTCTCTGTATGTATATATATTTCTTACTATATGTTCCATGCTATGCATCTTATGAAGTGGGCTGTAGCCCACGAAAGCTTATGCTCAAATAATTTTGTTAGTCTCTAAGGTGCCACAAGTACTCATGTTCTTTTTGCCTAAATCATGCAACAGTCAGAGCAGTGTACAATAACCGTAAGAATAAAAGACCAGCCATACTGGGTCCAGTGGTCCATTTAGCCCAATATCCTGTGTTCTGACAGTGGCCAATGCCAGGTGCTTCAGGGGGAATGAACAGAACAGGTAATAATCAAGTGATCCGTCCCCTGTCGCCCATTCCCAGCTTCTGGCAAACAGGATAGGGACACTTAAATTCATGATACTATAACTGAATTTAAGAAATAGCAGGGATTAATTGGGAGGGTTGTGGGAGTGGGAAGGGAAGGGAAATCAAGCCTGCTTTATTAGAAATCAGTCATAACAGAAAGAGCTCCCTGCACAAGATGAGGTATAAAAGACAGTGTAGTAAAAATGACCTGATGGATAGCATGACCACAACTGAATTTTTTTCATTTATGGGGGAAATTAAAGTTCCTGAATCTTTAACGCCAGACAAAAAATACAGAGGTATCTTGTGTACTGTGGAGTTTATCTAGGGATTTATATGATGAAGGAGGCTTACACTCAAAAAAGTGATAAAATAAGTGATGGAGAAGATACTTTTGTTGTCTGAAGAGGAAGCTGCTGGTCTTCTTGGGAAGTTATTCCTGATTGACTCCATGTGTGGATGCTTTTAATCTGGAATAGTTAATCCACTTTAAATTCACACCCTGTTTTATTCCAGATTAATTTTCACGTGTAGACAAACCCACATACGGTGTAGCCTCACTGCCTGTTAATCCAGGGAATCTTTCTCCCCTACCTGTCCTTGATGAGGGCTTCAAATTCATCACCTTGTTAATTTGTTCCTGTCTGGCTGGACGCCTTACATATTAGACATCATCTCACAATATATTCAAGTGACTGCTCTGTATTATCTGCAGTGGTACACGCCAGAGGCCTGTCTCCAGTTCAAAGACCACTTCCATGCACTGGTCAGGAGTGCCTGTCAGCAACGCAACACTGGGACAGTTGGGTGAGTCTCTGTAATAAACTGGCCTTTACATTTTAAAAAATATTTTAAGTTCTTGTATATACCCACTTTCCTTAGTGTCTTAGCCTCACTTCTCCCCTGCCTCCATGTATTTTAGGCCACTTAAGCTGTCTCTGTACTGGAATTCTCAGCCATGTTTGACAATAGTTGTCCAATGCAGTTCCCTCTGCTTCCCACAAACTGGTGTTGAAGTCGTTTTTCCTGCTGCTGTAGACAGGGCCAGCCAAATTCAACAACTTGGGTCAACCATGGTCAGGGTCATCCAAGTCCAAAGGGTCAACCATTATTTTTAAATGGGTATGGAAGTCTGTTTATCCTGTGCACACTAGCAGGACAACCAAGTTCAAAATTAGCAGTAGGGAATAGGATAGATGCAGCCTTGCTGTCGTCCTCTCAGTTGATACCAATACTGATTTTTCGCCTTCCTCCGCAGCATGGGGCAGGGA